GTAGTGTAGAATGTAAAACGAAAACTTCCAGTTCTCCTCCAAAATGAGCCTAATTACCGCATTTATCCATGTATGGACGATGCTAGTTATTAATAGACCTGGAATTATTAAATCTAATTTTTGGGCGTTATCGAACGAACCCTTTTCCGCCATTTACAAAAATGAGTCTGATTGTGTCGGGAAAGTGGCTAAAAATAGACGGAAATAAATTCCACAGGCTAGTGCAGGCGTTTAAACTAGACTACAAGACTCCTCGTGGGAAAATCAAACAATAGCATAAAACCCGTCAGCTTTAACTTCATTCTTATGGAGCTCATGTTACGCAATATCCCCGCATGTGACACACTGCTGGTGTAGAAAACTCAAAGTGTTTAAGTGACAAATGTTGCTACTTTCGTACGGCAGCTCCAGTCAAAAACACGTGCCCTGGCTTAACGATTCCGCAGGAATAGCTGGCTGTTTCCATGGTCAACTTGCATAACACTCAACTTACGTCAAAAAGAGATGGGAAGTCACCTGATGCTTCGACGTGCATTACCACGTGCGCATTTAGGCTGAAAAGTCTGACGCACTCAATGGATAGTTTAATACGTGTGGGAGTTGGCCACTTTATCATAGACGACCTGTTGCACAAGTGCTAATCCGATAAATATTCAATAATTATAACATTTGCACATTACTGTTCCGTTTGCCAGTCAATATTTCGTGATCAAAATAGTTTTCAGGTACTATTTTGATTTTCACTTCTAACCTGAGGACACACTTTCAAATGGAGATATGTGTAATTTTCATCCCTAGCTATTTGCTAGGTCAGTAAGTAAAAGAAATTAAATGGGCGGAAAGTTTAGCAGTATGAAATTTTGATTCATTCAGTTGGAGCCCAAAATGTTTGGAAGAGAATTTCATTCACCCCGGTCAGTACGCCCATGCGGTTCAAATCGTTACGATTTGTGACTTTACGAAAAGGTGGTTGATCAGATCCTGTTGTATTTGGCAAACTATTGATTGTTGTCCAAGCACCGGGACTCAGGAAGCTAGGTTCTGGTTGTGCTTACTTTAGATGCGTGTTGCAAGTTATCTGCAAGACCCAACAATCTGGTCGAAAAATCCTGGAGAATGTAGTTTGGTGCAATGAACATTTTTATTCAAACGAGTTCACCGGTTAATCCAGGGAATTGAAAACTCAACAAAACTTGCTATCGGAATTGTAACAAACTTGATACATCCAGCAAAATAAAGGTAATGTGTCCTGTATAGGTGTGAGTGCGAATCATACAGCCGACCGGCTGTGGCTGCTCGAGTTCGAAACCTACATATCAACCGTAGGTGTTCCTCAAGAAGTGCTGTTCTGCTTTTCGGTATAGATAAGTTTCACCCACTGAACACAGCCTGCATTGAAAATAAGGGTGAATGCTTCAAAATACTGCTGTTTTACCAGCTGTAAGACAAGTGCAACATTTCCAGTTTATTGGGATTTCGCCCTTCAAAATAGTGCTTGCCGGAGATATACGGGCCATGCAAGTTTGTCCTACGAAGAACGCCCTGTCGTTAGAAGTACCCCCACGTAGAAAACAGCCCGGCAGACCAGTTTATAACCTAGTTGCTGCATAAAATACCTGCAGTCAAAACTGCTGGGTCTGGCTGCACGTTTGCAGGGAAACTGCTTAAGACTGGCGCGCATCCAGAATTACAATGTTATTAAAAGGACGAGATGTGGCCATTTTTTTTAAGTTAACGCTACAAAACATCACTTGAGCTGGCCAACTTGTCGATCTTGAAGCCAGTCTTTTCATAGTGGGAGGTCTCCGGACATTTGTAAAAGGTTTATGGAATCAGCAATCAAAGCACCAAACTGTTGCTAAATGACCCCGTCAACCCCATGCTGTTATGCAGACAATCTCGAGGGGATGACTTTAAGAACTTCTGTCGGAAGACTTTCAGACTTTGATCAGATTGAGGATCGGCTGTATCAAATGTAAGACAATAGTTTTGATGACAGAACGACCACTAGTGTCTTCACTTCCAATTACCATATTTCAGTGTTCTAGAAAAGTCCATTTTGGCGGTTGTAATGCGAGGTGTTCCTTAAAATCATGTTGATATGACCTGGCATGCAAGTTCTAGCCAAGGAGGAAAATCACTGGGCATTAAGTACCATGAGCATTTGTCCAAGTACACACATAATCAGTTATAAATCTTAGTGCTCTGGCAAATTTGATAGGTTGTGACGGTTTGATGATGAAGCCTTGCGCCTAAAACCAAGCGGTGCAGTGTTCGGTAAATGGCCTAAGTAAATGTTTTGCCGCTATGAGCATTTATATATGAGTCGAAGCAAAAGAGATGCCACCGCGAGGCGTAATTAACGACGTGGAGATTAAGTATTGTGTCCATCACAGAGTCACACTTTGCCAGTCGAAAAACTGTTTAATCCTGTTTCTTCATCCAATAACCAGCTACCTCAGCGGTGCAGTGTTCGGTAAATGGCCTAAGTAAATGTTTTGCCGCTATGAGCATTTATATATGAGTCGAAGCAAAAGAGATGCCACCGCGAGGCGTAATTAACGACGTGGAGATTAAGTATTGTGTCCATCACAGAGTCACACTTTGCCAGTCGAAAAACTGTTTAATCCTGTTTCTTCATCCAATAACTCAGCTACCTCTCATAATCATGATCGGTAACAGCTTATCGTACACGGTTGTCCATTTAAATAGTTGAACAAACCACTACGCTCACGAATCAGACCCACCAAAGAAAACCGCTTGCAACCACTACCATGGCATTTTTCTCATCATTCTGCGAACAAAATTTAGCTCCAACGAACCTGTTTTGAGGATTGTGCGCAAACGAGCGATACATCGACCAATTTGCAGTGGGACACAAAAGTGAAATAAGTGTATAGAGAAGTTTTACGTCTCATGGAAAACATCACAGTCGGGCTGTTGATTTGCCGCAAAAAGCAAGCTCACACAGCGGGCAGGGAGCCGATAGAGTTTACTGTGGAAACAGTGGTAAATAGGAATGTAGGCTTCGATGATATGACAGAAATATTTGACTACGCTATTCACGGTTACTCCATCCACCATTTAGCTGATGCAAAGTCTACAGAGTAAATAAGTGGACAGGCAAATGAAGGTCAACAAATGGTCAGTTGATGGGCATCCTGGTGTTATTCAGCTGCTGATTAGGGCAAGGAAACGAGATCATCGGACCGGACAGATCGACATGTTTCTTCTTTGGATACATTGATACCGGCAGTAACAACCCTGTGAGAATTCCGGTTGACTGCATACTGATTCCGGTTGACAATCACCTTTTAATCCATGGTGACGCGAAACATGTGACTGCCAGTTTGAGAATGACTGAAGGGCGGCATTTGCAGAATGTGATAGTTTGGGTAACCCAATTGGAGATGGTGACCTGCATGTAAGATCGACGGTGACTGACCGTTTAGTTTTGTTTACACGTGACAGCGCATCAATAACACGGTATACAGGGACTGGGAAACTACTCATAATGTCGACGGGAACTCTGGACAGTCCACCACCGTCTTTTTTCCTTCTTTAGGCTCATCAGGTAAGCATAGTATTCCAATATCCAGCAACCTTATCAGTTGTTCAAAACCGAGAGTTGTTAAGATCCAAAAACTGAACGTCTTATTACTGAGATTCGGATCAGCACTATGGAACAGCACTCTTGTTTTGGTGAATGACAGAATCTACCAGCAAGACAACATGACACAGATAACTTCAGCACCGTTCTAATGCGGCAAACTTTGCTGATTAGGGTGTCAGTTTGACAGCACAGCAAAGAACCATTAGCCTGCTTGAACCTCAGAAACAGTGACCTCAAGGGTGCAGGAGTCAAGGATCTTCGCAACCTGAAACTAACCACAGTCGATTTTCCGATACAAGGTGCAGTTATGAAACCCGAGGGGATAGCAGGAATCTGAAATACTTGAATTTATCAATCGCATGAAATTTTGACTCGCCTACATTAAAGCGGGAATACGTCATAACGACGCCAACCTTCTAGTTCGTGTGACGTTTTGAAGGAAACTCCGTTGCAACACGCGCTATATTTTATTCCTCTCGGGATCCTTCATCCATTATCCAAGCGACTGCTTTTAGTCCTCATACATCGCATTCATTAATTCTTTCTACTGGTGCACGACCATATCGAAGCCAGAGCTCTACGACCCGTAGTCCATCAAACGGACACAACCAATGATTCTTCACATGTCCATGATCGCAAATACCTGTGTTATGTGCCACTTTCATTGAACTGAGCACCTTAATTTAACTGCTTAAATGTGGTATAAGCAAACTCATTGAACTACTGGCGTCAGATCATACATAAGCATGATTATGCTTCATTGAACAGTGTTGCTCAGTCAGTTGTCTCTTTGTTGCAGTAGATGACCTTAGTGCACTTCATCATTGCTTTTTCAGAAGGCCCTAAAAGGAAGGTTCTGAAGTAACGAAGCAAAAAGGTGCTACTAAGGGCACAGCAACTAACAGGAAAATTGAGCACCTCGGGTGGAGTACTTGCCTTTGACGTGTGTGGTGACAATGGCAACGTGAAGTAGCTAACTGGAAGTCCGGTGTTGAAGTAATCCACCGCTTGACAGCCCTTTAAAACTGGGTTCTGTGAAGTACTACTTGGTGGGCGTCAACTTTTTCGTCGTTTGATATTATGATATCCATCTATAATGGACTGAAAGCGCTTGCTACATCATCAACTTCGACAAAAAAGTTACACTTACCTCAATTAGGAGATGGCAGTTTAATGGGTACAACAATAAGAGAATTGTGTCTACCCAAGCGGAGCCATCAACTACGTGAACAGTACTGCAGCAACAATAATGTGCAACAACATCTGATGCATATGTAGGGAAGAGAAACAGTGGCAGCACATAAAAAGTCGAGCTTTTTCCAATTGGCTTAGTCCTAGGGAAACCTGTACCAACCGAGTGCGGAACACAACGGTAACATGATTTGAAATCGGTTTAATCGAGAACAACCACACTGTGGTTGTTGGAACATGACTGGGCATCAGCAGTACAGATTACCATAAGGTCAAGGCGCGCGACAGCGACAAGGTTAAGCTGAATTTGTACAAACGGTTGAGAAAAGATCTCAGAGTTGCATACAGGTACGGGCTGTGAAAAAGGGGTTCAGGTAAAAAATAATGAAGGAGACCACTGTCCTCCCATAATAGTTGCCAAATGAATGAGAAGACGGGAGCACGAAAGCCAGCTTCCAATAAGGCTGCCCAAAGCAGCGGCCCAAAGCCACCTGGACTAGAACGCAGCAAACAGACGATAATAGTAACAATGGAGTAACGACCAGAAGAAACATACTAACCGAGCGAGAATGGGAGTGGGATCGTTGTGTGAATGGTAGAACGAAAACAACATTCGGGAAGAGAATGAGAGAAACGAAAGCCGGGGACACAGGCAACCATACCGCATTTATTTCTAAGAAAACCGGAAGAACTGATTGACATGCGGGGGAGAGCTCCTCTAATCTGTCATAAACGACAACCATACAGTGAAGAAAGAAAATATTGAAATCTGAACAAAGGAAACCGGTTTTAGTATTAGAAGTAGCTGCGACATCAGCCCCAAGTTTCCAAGCACTGACAGCTGACTAGAACGAGGCGCACTGGCATGAATTAAGTGTGGGAAAAACCGGGAGGTCAGTCACTGAGCTGCCAGCTTACGTGAGTCGGTCGGCGAGGTGGAGAAACTCTTGGAACAGTACTCACGGAACTACCGGGGTGACATTCTCCTGTGGCAGATGTAGGGCAACTCTGGTGAGCACCAGAAGAGCATTGCTCAGTAGTGGCCGTTAGATTTGAGGGTGGCGGGTGGACTGTGGATGCGGTTTTGTGGACTGGAGTATCACAGGGTGTTGGAGTTGCCGTCGAACTGGATGAAACACCTGAAGACTTGGCCCCTGGTGCATCGACCGCAACGTCCACGCTAGTCGGTGCTGGAGTTTCATCGTCCGATACATTCGGCTTCCGAGGGAGCGAGGGATCAACACAGGTGGTAGATGGTAGGGAAAATAGGCTACATGTAGGCGCAGATGCTGTGTGTGGTATGTCGTTTCCAGCACTGGACAACGCTGAATTGGAAGCCTCCGATCTGGTGGACTGACGACGTAGTCGCTGGGTTTCTGAATGTATGAAATGATCAAATGATGGTTCGGTGTTCCAGGGCAAAAAACACTGGTGCCGTTCCATTATATCTTGACGACACACGGAACATTGTTCAATGCGCTCAGCACAATCAGCACAGCAGATAATATGACCACACGGAAGAAATACTCGAGAAATGGGCGCATCCACGCAAATCCGGCATAGACCAATTTCCCATAGACATTTTTGTACAATTTCCTGAAGTTCCTACAACAAAGAAAGAGATGAAGAGAATTTCGCGCGAAATGTACGGCGAAGGAAACTTTAGCATAAGAAAACTTATCCCATCCATTAAAATACAAACACAGACTTCATGAAACAAAGGATCAATACAGTCGCACGTATAAAGTAGTCCCCCGGGGTCGTGTAAATCGCAAGTAATTCATAATACTATCATGCATCCACAAGGTATGTCACTTGTTTCCAAAGGTCTTCTGGAGGATATTTCAATCAGATCATACGGCAGAGTAAATCACTAACGTTTAATCAGGAAGAAATAGGTGAAATCAAACATATTGATTAGTCACCAGGATTTAAGCTGCCTGAATAGGCAAACATCTAGTGTTTACATTAAGAATTCTTATGATTTTGCCAACAAAGTACCAGATGACATCCTGGTAAGCTTCGATGTCAATTCATTATATACAATTGTGTCCAGAGGGGACTCTAGAAATATCTAAGCGATTGCTAATAACAGACACCACCCTTTCAGAACGGACAGAGCTCACGGTGGATGAAATAGTGGGAGGCATAAAACATGCCTGGATCTCACCCACTTCGCTTTCGACAACGTGGTTTACACTCAACAACAAGGTCTAGCAATGGGATCTCCAATATCCCCAGTTTCGGCAAATATATTTAAGGAAGAATTTGAACAGAGAGCTTTAGCGGGATTTCCATACTCACCTGAGATATTCTGGCATTATGTAGCTGACACTTTCGTCGTGATGAAACGAGACAAGGTCGGTGATTTTGCAACTACCTCAGTGATCTGAGTCCATGCATCAAATTTAGTATGCAGATAGAGTCAACCTCCGGGTAAACTGGCCTTTTTAAACTGCATGACACATAAGGTCGGGGGAAAACTAAAGATCACAGTGTGCAAAAAGCCAAACTACACTGGGATAGTCTTGAACTACTCGTCTGTCCATCCGAAGTCGGTGTTCGCCAATATTGCCTCGTCAATGTTTAGGCGTGTAAGAGCCCTGTGCACAGAAGAAGCTGATCGGACAGCGGCCCAAATTGAGGTAAAGAACAAACTTCGGAGTAATGGATATCCAGCTAGCTTGATTAGGCGTTATTTGCAAAGGGTGTTGGTACCGGTATCAAAACCCAACAAGGAATGGATCGAGACCGCTGTTATTCCATATAAACCAGGGACATCGGAGGTAATTCGAAGAATTCTAAACACGGCTAACATAAAAGTAGCTTTCCAGAGGGGGAACACTGGTGCAATTGAAGGATCGCCTCCCGGCGAACAGAACCAGAGACTGTGTCTACAAAGTTAAGTGTAATGACTGCACCAAGGTCTATATAGGACAGACGGTCAGGGAATACTACACATCAGAGTCGGAGAGCATAGCAGAAAAATAAACAGGCCGCCGAGAAACGCAGATGAATATCAAGCGCTACCGAAAGACTCGGCAATCGCGGACACAAAATTGACTTAGAAAATGTTGAGGCTTTGAGGCGAGAAGTACGGTTCACGTCACAGAGACTGATCGCCGAGGCGGTAGAAATCGCCAAGCCTCCCAGTGTTAACAGAATAGAAGGCGTGGAACTGGCAAGCGTGTGGAGAACGGTTTTGGATCAGTCGAGCTGACACGTCTTGGTGTGCGGTCATCTGAACTTCACTTGACCTCAACCGCCCTCAAACTAAATTGTCGGAGCACTCACAACCCCACAAAGACCAGAGAAAATCTAACAGCGGCACCCGAGGTGAATCATCAATTGAAGCACCCTGAAGTGAAAGATTAACTAACCAAACCCGATCAGAATTAATTTGTAACTCCCCCAATCCATCAAAGCAAGATCTTGACAACCACACTAACCGACAAGAGCCGTTAATTGACCCTCAACACTGATCCAGTGTGATAGTATGAGGAGGACTGACTTGCTGATTGGTTCCCCGTCTGTCTTATAACCTGGCCAATTTGGTGACCTGCTCACTTGGCCTGATGACGCTTTTGTGTCAAAAGTGAAACGTTGCCCAAATAAAAACTACCGATTGTTTATCAAGCTCTTCTGAGAGAAAAACATCTGGTTCAAGCCCAAAATCATCAGGTGCGCAAACTGGTCATCGGATGCGACTTTGTCCGAACGGTTACACTTCGCATCCTTCCAAATCTGCTTGACAAGCCCCAAAAGGCTGAGACCAGTCGCTTGATTTTCACACATCTCACATTTTTCTCATGAACCTCCAGGTAGATCCAAGCCTGTTGTTTGGTAACTAACTAACTAAATAACTAACTAGGCTATTCGCAAGAGTCGATAACAATTCGAATAAAACATCATGAATATTCGAGAAATACACTCATTTGCAAATCAATTTGGTTTTCACGGGAGACTCATAAACGAGAGATTCAATTGAGTCTCCCGTGAAAACCAAATTGATTTGCAAACGAGTGTATTTCTCGAGAACAGTGCAATTTGGGTTCAAGTAGATCATAAGGTTGACGGAAACTCGGGGACTGAGCCTACCTGATGAGCTCCAAGAAGGGCGAAACCGGTCGTGGATTGTCGAAGAGTTTTCAGCAACCTTGTGAGTAGTTTCCATCATGAATATTCATCAGCGGCTAACTGATTGTCTGGGTAAATGGATGTTCATACCAAGCTCCACGCCTAATCGGGATTTACCAGCTGCACAAACCGTTGGGATGGACAACCCGAATCTGTTAAGCAAAGGGTTATGGGTCCAATACTTCTATGAAAACTTACAAATTATATTGGTTTCGAAAGCGTTCGTGCCGCTTTCACAATTACGCCAAAGGAAACCAGTCTTACGAATTGCAGTCCATTTTTGTTGTGTCCTGAGTTATGAGCAGAAGAACGTAACAAGATGAAATGAACTCTTTTCAAAGGCTTGTCACGAGTTTACGGAAAGACTTCGCATTTTGTCTTGTTTGCACTTTATAGTTGATGACAGGCGAAGCCTTCGGAAACAGTTCAAACAGTTCGTTTACGAGCTATCTTAGAAATGCGCAATAACAAGTGCATCTTATTGTCTACTTGTGCTTTTTGTAGCCCGTCGGTCCCGCACCGAAATTATGTAGATTCCAACTGCCAGTGGTTTAGTTTTTGGGAAACATTGATTGCTTGAATTCGGTGGCTTCGACAGGTGGATGCTCTACATCGAATTATAACCCCCAGACATAGGTCCATAACCGACATAAGGCTTGGCATGACGATGCTACCACGCCGCTTTCGATTGATCACAACAGAAGTTTATGGTGCGTTAGTTGCACGCACTTTGATATGACGTTCGCAGCCAGCCATTCTTCCCACATCACTGGCCAACAAACTGCTGTGTGGATCACAACCATGGAGGCAATCAAAGTACTGAATGCTGAATACATGAGCCCTGAGCCTGAGGAGTCTATCCGTGACACTAAGTGAAGCGGTGACCAGAAAGTTTCACCTCTGCTGCACTGAACAACGTTGTAGCGTTCAACAAAAAACAAGGCTGGGAAGCATCGATAAGGTTGATGGTGTTGCACCAAGACGGTAGCAAATACCGAGTGAAGTAACGATAGCATGGTTAGAGACCTGCGTTCTGGTTGATTTGGTATGGATCATCGATTTACATGTACCTAGTTCAGTTTACAAGAAAAAATTATGCAAGCGTGAAAGTCCGGATAAGATTGCTTTGCAGTTTACGCAATAGCACTTTAGCTACCCATTTGTTGAAATACTTCGGCTATAGGACACAACGCTACTGACCGGAAAGCTCATCGTTTGAAAATACGGCCTCTCAACTGCCTCAGGGATTTGGTGAACTGGCAGTATCCCAGCCCGCTTGCTTTTCCGAGGTGTAGATTATTATTATTATTGTTATTATTATTATTGACCACCTTTCGCACTGAAGCGCACCATATAAGTATTCTTGCACACCAACTAGTTAACAGCCTCCAATGGAACCCTTACAGCCTACAGGGATCCTGCTTTCAGAAAAAATGCAGGGAGCTATAGACAGCTGAGACAAATTCAGGTAGATTTAGGCGTTAGAAATTCAAAATCCAAAAAGACCGATCCGGAGTTTTACGGAGCCTACATTGTACGAGAGCTGAGGAGGGTAGATCAGCTGGACGGTCCCTCTTACCGAACTAATTTGGATGCATTGAGCCGCGAGAAACCAGATGGCAAACAAAGCCATCTATGTACGTCAGCAATTAATTGGCCAATCAGAGGCGAGTGGGAAATGTATCGGCGATTGGTACGTGCATTGATTAGCCAGAAACGCGGCCAAGGTCAAAATGAAACCACGCACGCCCCAAAGGCATGATCGTTCAAGGACGTAGACCGTTTGCGTACGTGTGTGTTGTGTAGAGAACAAGGGAGGGAGACAGCGTCGATCTTTTGCAGAAGACAAGCAAGGCGGTGCAGACAGACTATTACTAGTTGGAAATAAGCTGAATACGACGTAAACTCAATGGACAAAAGCACTTCAACAGAATCGGCAAGGCGCTTGAGGTGGTGAATTCAGAGGTGTTTCCATTAACAAATAAATGGGAGTTTTCGGAACGAATAAAGCGTCACAAGACCCCATCTATTTTCAGATGAATATATGCTGCCAAAAAGCAGTTTCACGCAGCAAATCACGGCTATTAGTGACATTGATCATAACAGTTACTGCTTGACTTCGATAGCTGATTGGAGCGTAGCTGTCTTGTTCTGGCCCAAAACAGCAACTTTTATTGTTCCACTCACTGCCTAACATTGGTGACAGCATTTCGTGAGGTTACAGTCAAGTGCTGATTTCACACGTAACTGAGTGCGGGCTTGAGTAACAGTTACCCGAAGAATCCAAAAGGTTCTAAAAATTAGCTGTCCATGTATTGAACTGCGCCTGTATCCAAGCAGCTCATCCATAAATTTTTGGCACAGTGGCTACCCTCTAGAGAGAAATCCCCGTACGAGACGAGTTACAGCGGCTTCTTCTAATGAGGGGGGCTACAAGAGAGGACGTCTTAGTAAAATTTAACCAACAT